TGGGAAGGTCCACATGGGAAAAAATGAGGAGGAACTCTGGATGACAACTGCCTGATATCTGAGGCCACAAGCCACAATACACAAGCAAAGTCTGGGGCATGGTGGTGCACACCTGTAATCCCAGTGGCTCAGGAGGCTGAGGCAGGAGGATCACGAGTTCAAGGCCAGCCTCAGCAACTTAGTGAGGACTTCAGCAACTTAGTGAGACGCTGTCTCAAAAAAAAAAAAAAAAAAAAAAGGATGTGGTTCAGTGGTTAAGTGCCCCTGGGTTCAATCCCCAGTGCCAAAATAAAAGCAAGTGAGTCCTACAAACCATGACATCAAGTTAAGATGGAAGTGGACCTTTCCAAGTTGACCTTCCTTGATGAAAGTCCTGTATGATACCTTGTTTGCAGACTTGGAAGCAACCCTGAATCAGAAAGCTCATGAAAGCCAGGCCCAGATTCCTGACCCAGAGAAAACTATAAGTATGTTCTATTTTAAGAGTCTGGATTATTGGTGATTTGTTACAAAGTAAAACACTAACTAAACACTCACCAACAAAAAGGAACAATTCAACGGTAAACCCCAAGTAGTGGTTTTCTATTAGTTCTCTGTTGGTGCACGACAGATCACCACAAACTCAGCAGCTGCAAGAGGTGCTCATTTGTTCAGTCACTGTTGTGTAGGTCAGAAGCCTGGGCGTGGAATAGCCAAGTTCCCTTCTCAGGTCTCAACAGATCTTCCATCTCATCTGAGGTTCGAAGTCCTCTCTTCTTTACAAGCAGGAGAGAAGGGGACAAGAGAGGGAATAGAATTCAACTCCTTGGGGTTGTAAGACCGAGGTCCCTACTTTCTTGCTGGCTGCCACCAGGGAGTTGTTCTCAGCTCTCAGACATCACCTAGTCTTCTCTCCAGCAAGAAGATTGTCTCCTTAAAAGCCACCAGCAGGACTGTAAAGTCACCCGGAAGACAGAGCCGGGTAGGTGCGGGCTACGGCTTGTCTTCTCTACCCCATCGGGAGGCGGAGGCCTGCCCGATGCCCGGGCCTGCAGCGCTGAGCGCCGCGGCGGCGGTGGCACTGGTGGCCGCCCTGCTCCTGGCGCGGCGTGAGGAGGCGGGGCCGGAGACCGGCCCCAGGTAACTCCTTCGGGTAGGGGACCGAGCTGGGCCCTGCACTCTTCCCGGGACCCTGGAAACCGCGGGGAAAGAGGCTGGTGGTGCCAGCAGTTTGTGGCACCTGGGCGGACCCCCAGCTCGTTCCCCTTCCGAGGTGTCTGCTGGGGCCATTGGGAGGCGGCTAAAGTGCCGCGCCCCGCAGCAAACCCAAGCTGCCGAAGCTTCGGGAAGACTTCAAGATGCAGAATAAATCCGTCTTTATCCTGGTCGCCAGCGGGGAAAGTGGCAAAGTGCTGCTAAAAGAAATCCTGGAACAGAACCTGTTTGCCAGAGTCACTCTGATTGGCCGGAGGAAGCTCACCTTCGAGGAAGAAGCATATAAAAACGTGAATCAAGAAGTGGTGGACTTTGAAAAATTGGAAGACTATGCTTCTGCCTTTCAAGGTCATGATGTTGGATTCTGTTGCCTGGGTACCACCAGAAGCAAAGCTGGTGCGGAGGGATTTGTTCGTGTTGACCGAGATTATGTGCTGAAGTCTGCAGAGCTGGCAAAATCTGGAGGGTGCAAACATTTCAATTTGCTGTCTTCTAAAGGAGCTGATAAGTCAAGCAATTTTTTATATTTACAAGTTAAGGGAGAAGTAGAAGCCAGGGTTGGAGGATTAAAATTTGATATCTACTCCATATTTAGACCTGGAGTTCTGCTATGCAATAGGCAAGAATCTCGCCCAGGTGAATGGTTGATTAGGAAGTTCTTTGGCTTCTTACCAGACTCTTGGGCCAGTGGCCACTCTGTGCCTGTCTCGACTTTGGCTAGAGCAATGCTGAACAACATGGTGAGACCAAGTGACAAGCAGATGGAAATTCTGGACAACAAGGCCATCCACGACCTGGGGAAAGCTCATGGTGTTCTCAAGCCATGACCACACTGGAGAAGCACTTTTGACTGCAGACCTCAACATCTATCACTAAATCTATAATTTCATGGCCTTGAAAGAATTTGTGTGCTTTACCTTGGTTGTTTGACTATTCTCAGCCACACAGATCCAATCAGGACATGACTTTGCTCTATATTGGTGGCTTATGGCCTGATTATACATGTAGATCACTCAGGAAGCTTTTGAAAAATGAGATTTATAGGCCCTGTTTCAAATCTTCTGAATCGGAATGTGGGAGATGTGGGCATAGGAATCTGTGGTTTTATTTTGCTTAAAATTCCTCTGGTGGTTATGGGCGACAGCTTTGAGACACTCCTCTGCAATCACAACAGCAGTGTAACCCCTATGTGCCATGCAGATGAATGCTGTGGTAAAACTTGACATTTTTGTTCTAATTAATAGCATATAACTGTGTAAGTGAACACTGTGCCTTTACTACTACTTTAAATATATAATAAAAAATTAACAGTTTATATAGTTCATGGGAGAATTAAATAGGGCAATGAAAATAAATGCACAAATCCTGGGTGCCTCTTCAATGGTTCGAAAATATTAGTTGTACTAGTGGTGATGGGCAGCTTTTCAGCCAATGCAGTGATATAATAACAGCTATCATTTATCAAGTGCTGGCTATGTTCCAGTCCTTACATATATCATCTATGCTTTAACCTTCCAAACAATCCTTATAAAATGATATTGTCCATTTTATCACCTTTTCTCCTTTTTTAAAAATCCTTATATCTTAGATGGGGAAACTGATGCCTTATTTAGGGATCCAAAGCTGAAGCCCTAAAACTAGGAAATGGGAGAGTCAGGATTCTAACCCAGCTCAGCCTGTTAACCACTCAACAAAAGAATCCTGTGTCTGTATATTTCCAGGTGGTTCCAGTGAATTGTTAGTACATGTCATGGATGAATAAAGTTGAAATATTTGGGTTTCTTCAAAAAAAAAAGCCACCAGCAGGGGCTTGGGGCATAGCTCAGTGGTAGAGCTTTATCTAGCACACACGAGGTGCTGGGTTCCATCCCTGGCCCTGGAGGGAAAAAAAGGAAGGAAGGAAGGAAGGAAGGAAGGAGGGAGGGAGGGAGGGAGGGAGGGAGAGAAAATCCAACAGCAGAATTTCCCCCATACTTCAGATATCCCTAATTTCTTCTAAAGACTCACCCAAGAAAATATCACAGCCCTAAACCTGTTAGGGACTTTAATTACCAGATGATTCCACTTTTTAAAAATCTCTAGGAAAGACAAATATCATCTTCAATAATAAAGAACAGATCAACAAGTACCAGGACACAGAGGTGGAGTCTTGAAAGTGACACAGGCATTTTATGGGAAGAGGGAATTACACACTTTGATATTAATGCTGGTTACAAAGGTGTGTAACACTATTGGACCTCAGCAAACTGTAGGCTTAAAATATGTGCATAGTGTGTGTCAATAAAGGTCATTAAAAGTAAACAGAGGGGCTGGGTTGTGGCCCAGTGGTAGAGTGCTTGGCCTAGCATGTGTGAGGCACTGGGTTCAATCCTCAGCACCACATAAAAAAATAAATAAGCAAAATAAAGGTATTGTGTCCATCTACAACTAAAAAAAAAAAAAAAAAGTAAACAGTCAGCCAGCCACAGGACTTTTGCTTCACTATCATCTTGTAACTGTTACATAAAAGCATCTAATTGGCTGAACTTCACCTACAAAAAGGAATAATCTAACAATGTACACAGAATCCCAGCTGGGTCTTCTCACCCCCAAACCTAGCTGCAAAGGAATCTAGCAAATGCAATTTTAGTTGTAGTTTCATGTTTCACAAAAAGGAGTGGCCACTGGAAGGGAGATGTAGAGATGTTGAGCTGAGCCTGGTCCTTCAGTGCAAGCCTGAGCATGGATTAGCTGAGTTCCTTTCTCAGGTCCCGCCAGTATATTCAGTAGGTCAGAATTACTGTATCACACACACTCACATATGTGTGCACATGCGTACACATATGTATCATGCTCCCATGGACCAACACTATACTCAGGGACACTAAAATAAAATTTATTAAATGAAGCAGAATCTACTGATGAGACCCCAGAAAAGAGAATTCTTCTTATTAATATATACAGCATATATATATCTTATTAATATATATAGCATATACATAATATATGCTGTGATTACAGGCATGCACCACCATGCCTGGCCATAGAATTCTTAATAGAAAAAAATGACACATATATAGAACCTATATTATATTTGAAATAACAGAATTTTCCCTTTTTTTTGGTGGGAGTGTGGAAATTGAACCCAGGACCTCCTCACACATGCTAAGCACACACTCTACCACTAAGCTACACCCCAGTCCCTCCTTTTCATTTTTTTAATATCAGCTAGATTTATAAGGCATAAATTTCTTCAATAATCTCTACTTAAGTACTAGGGGTGGAAGGGGGAGGGCATGAATCAGTTATTCTCATGGCCAAATAATTCTCTGAGATTAAAAGTGGGGCATTTTCTCTTCCAGTCATAAGCATATATACTTAGGTATAAAGAATAAAACATATACAAATTAATGAGATTTTCAGCATGTGTGGAAGGAGTTTCAGATGATGAACTGCAGGAGCCTACCACTTGAGAGCCACTGACACAACAAATTGTATAACAGGACAAAGAACAAGATTTAAACAAACTGTCAGTGCTCGTTGATTGTGTTTCTGCAATGTGTATCAAATCCAGAGAGAAATAAAATTTAATTAAAGCAATGTGTTGTTGTAGAGTGGATTATTTGATTTTTGCCAAAGCCAGAAATACACATTAAATCATAGTTATCCAGAAAAATTACATCTCTAAGACAACTTTTCTGGGTTCTTTGATCTCAGAAAAAACTAACAAAGAAATAAACAAATTATTAAACACTAGCTTATTTTAATAAAGGATCATTTCATTGAAGACACAGGATGAAGTAATTTCCAAACCAAAAAGTTCAGTTAATGTAGTCTCCAGGGCAGCTGAAAAAGTCTGCTTAGAAAAAACAACAATGCATAACATGTACAATTATAGGTTAACAAAAAATAAAGTACATTTAAAAATCAACATTGCAGTTAAGTGCAGCTGTTCTCCTTATCAGAAAGTACAAGTAGTAACAGATGAAAGGGAGAAACACAATTTAAATTTGTTAAGGAAAACCAAGAAGGGTTTGAAGGAAGCCCAGCACAGTGGTGCATGTACATCTTTAATCCTGGCGATTTGGGAGGCTGAGGATCACGAGTTCAAGGCCAGCCTCGGCAACTTAGCAAGACCTGTCTCAAAATAAAAAAATAAAGGACTCGGGGTATACTCAGGGGTAGAGTGCCCCTGGATTCAACCCCCCAGAACTGAAAGAAAATAAGAAAAAGGTATGAGAAGGAGTGAGATCATGATTGACAACTTTATTGAAGATCACCAGTGGATATCACAAATCCTGTTAGTCAACTTTGGGAAACAGTGTAACAGTTTTTTAAAACATACACTTGCCATATAACCCAGTAATTCTCAAGAAAAAGGAAAATATATGCCAATGTTTACATGGGTGTTCGAACAGTGTTGTTCATAATAGAGCGAAAATGTAAAATCTATTCACCTTTATTCACAGTCGTAAAATGTTAATAATAAATAAAAACCATACAGGGCTGAAAGAATGAAAATCAGCCTGGAGCAAGAAAGAAAAGAAGCAATCCTAATCATTTATCGGGAGAGGAAGAAAGATGCAGATCAAACCAGCTACAGGGTTCATAGGGAACGTCATTTCCCCCCCAGATCATAGAGCAAAAGTAAAATACACACGGCTGCTGTCTTCCCAGACACACCTTGCACACTGCATCCTTCACTGGGTACCTGATGAGTAACGGCCCATCTCCTGACTGCACCCACTCTCTACTGAGTCCCCACATCTCTGAATCTCCCCTCAAAAACAGCTGATTGAAAGCTGATTGCAGCTTTCCTGTGTCCCCGGCATTCCATGGTTCCTCATGGTGCCTCCCTCACAGGGCAACCTGACCATGACAGACTACACATTTGCTCCTGGCACAACTACACCCCCGGTTGATCAGGCTCTCCCAATAGCCCAACCCTGGAAACGGAGCGCATCATAGGTGGATGGATAAGCAAACTTGTGCTCTAGTCATTCAATGGGATACTACTTAGCAATAAAAAAAGGCTACTGTCACACACAATAATATGGATCATGAAGAAAAGCATAAAGCATGTACTGTGTTTTTCCATTCATATGATTCTAGAAGAAGCATCATCATTGGCTGCCATGCACCAAGGTTATGGAGTGAGATTGACTACAACCAGCACCAGGGAACTTCTTGTGGGAGGAATGGAGCCAGGTGGGGATGTAGCTCAGTTGGTAGAGTACTTGCCTACTATTTGCAAGGCCTGGCTTCCATCCCCAGCACCACAAAAAAATAAAAAGAGGAATGAAGTGGTGCTTGAGGGATGTGGCTACACATTTCCTAAGTGGTCAACCCGCATGATTAGCATGTGTTAGTATTTTCATAGGAATGTCATTCTTCATTTAAGTTCAACAAAAGAGTATGCTGTAGGTGTGGATCCAGGGTTGAGGTGGGTTGCAGTTACCCAGAGAAACTTGAAATATAACCTGATTTACCTTTTTATAAAACAAAAACAAAAACAAAACACTGCTCTCCATAGATTTCAATTAATGTAAATGCAGAATGTTAATTGGTCCCTACTCCACTAAATGGAATTATCCCTGTTATCAGAATTATTGATCATAAAGCCCCTGTCAGGAAAAGGACACCTGGGGGATGTGACTTGGACTGCACTCCAGGGGGTTACCCATAAAGGGGAGATGCGAGCTTCCCTGAGCTTCCAGTGGGTGGCCCCATCCTCTTGCTTCTTGTGGGCCTGCCTCATGGAATGGCGAGGCACAGAGCTGCTCCTAAGATGTTGCCAAACCTCCTTATGCAGGGGCCTTTAGAGCCAGAGTGGACTGAGCCACCACAGAGGATGTTGTCACCACGGTCCTGTGGCGTGGTGCAGTTCAGTGCACCACATCTCCAGGAAACTGTTCATTGCATGTGCTGCTCCTCAAAACAGTTCAGTCTCTTTATGTCAAAAAGTTTCAATAGCAGGCTGCTGCTGAACTCCAGGGGAAGGTACTGGTGTTTCCCGGACATTACATTAACTCCCCATCAATCTTCTTTGCTCTCATTGACCACGACTGCTTCTTTACTGCACCACATGCATTTTTGATGCATTTAAAAGAGCAAGACCGGCTCTGGCAACTGGGCAACCATCGCTACGCACGCTCCTCACGACTAGATGACTGGCAGACTTCTATGTGTTCATAGCCACAAGGCGCACAGGACTCCTGAGTGGGCCCTCTTCACCCTGCAATAGCATGGTGGCAACATCTGCAGATCTCCCACAGGAGAATCCAAGTACCAGGCAGAGGCGCTGACAGTGAACAAGATGAGCGCTCTGTGGAGTAGCACTTGCTAGGGCACCAGAGTGTTATGGGCCGGGCTATGCGGGCAATGACCAAACAGACTCTGTGTCATATAGGAAAACTTCTCCCAGGGGAAAATTCTGCCTCTGCCATCCTGAGCCTGCTTAGCACACCCTGCTTATGTTTCTGTTCTTCTTATACAATGTAAAATTGTTCTCTTTTTGGGTCCAGTTTTCTTGAACAATGTACCCTGTCAGAGAATGATAATCTAGACATTAGAAACCATTCTTTAACTTGTACCAAAATAGGGTCATTTTGACCCATTTTCCCTCCTGCTTATGATTTTACATCTCATGATGTTTGTTTATGGTTTTGAATCATAGCAACAGCCATTTATGATTAATGTGGTTTTAGACCACGTTAATGTGTGCTCTACACTTTGGAGGGGGGTCTAAGGGTGTAGATTTGCAACCTGCCCCTTGGCCCACCAGCTGGTGAATAAAGATGGTTCCATCTCCTGCTTTAAGATCGACTCAGTGACTTACTGTAATCTTGCTATAACAAGAGGGCCCTCCATCTTTTCTCCTCCAGCTTATTTCCAAACCCAAGTTAACAGAGAAGCTTCCAACTCATTCTAACTTTGAAGGGAAAACACTTCTGGTGTTTTTTTTTTTCTCCCAACAATAATCCTAACTTATCTGAAAACATGGGAGAAAGCATCACAAGAAATTCTCATGTGGTTTGGAGACAGCCTCACCTGGATCAGAGTAAAGGTCCAGCATTCCTAATTTGAAAATCCAAAATCTGAAATGCTACAAAATCCAAAACTCTTTGAGGAATGACATGACACCACATGTCATTCTTGCCTGACCTCATGTTATAGGTTGCTGTTAAAACTCAGGCACAGTAGATCAGTGGTAGAAGGCTCACCTAGCAATCATGAGGCTTTGGGTTTGACTTCCCACACTGCAAAAAAAGAAAAGAAAAAAGAAAAAGCTAGTCACTAAGCAACTCAACGAGAACCTGTCTCTAAATAAAATACAAAATAGGACTGGGGATATGGCTCAGTGGTAGAGTGCCTCTGAGTTCAATCCCTGGTACCACCCCCCATCAAAAAAAAAAAAAAAAGCTTTCTGTTTTTTGTGTACTTTTGTTTTGTAGAATCAAAAGTTAAATGACTTCAATTAAACATCAAAATGTATAAAAACTTAAATCTTTCTAATTCATGCCCTCAGTGATTCTTCCTAACTCCGAAACTACACAGTCATCAGAATAAAATGGAACTTAGTCTTTAAGATATATTTTTTATTCTTTTTTCTTTGACAAATAAAAATTCCTTTTATTTTAAAATACTACCTTACAAAATAGTTACATATTTTCACTGAAATGACACCCCCAAAATATAAACCAAACTGTCATTTTTGAGAACTGAGATTTTAAGGAAAATGATTGCCCCTTTCTATTTTATTTTGAGATGTCCTTACATGTATACTGCTTCTGAAATTTTAAATAGATCTTTAAATGGCTTTCAGAATTTCTTTTTCAAAAACCGTCTCCAACATTCAACTTCACTTCACTGTTTTGCATGAGAAATGAAGTAAAATCTTAAGATGGTGTGAAACGATTCCACACTGCATTTCCCAGCCACAGTGAAGGGCCTCTTTTCACAGAGGGGCACTTTTCAAGGCCTGAAGCATGCAGTAGCCACAACTTGTACAAGATAAAAGGTGGACACTTAGAGGGGAGGGGAGGGGAGGGGAGGGGAGGGGGGATAGTAGAGGATAGGAAAGGCATCAGAACACAACAGACACTAGTATGGCAATATGTAAATCAATGGATGTGTAACTGATGTGATCCTGCAATCTGTATATGGGGTAAAAATGGGAGTTCATAACCCACTTGAATCAAAGTGTGAAATATGATATATCAAGAACTATATAATGTTTTGAACAACCAACAATAAAAAATTAAAAAATAAAATAAAAAAATAAAAGGTGGACACTTGGTGTCATGAAATGGGGGTGGGGGTGGGGGGTTCTGTGCTAATACTATCCAATATGACTTATGCAGCAAGTGAGTGATTATTTAACTCACAAATGACTTGCAAGCTCAAACATGGTTCAAAAACTATCAAATCTTCTTATAATTTTATTCAGATTTATATTCCGAGTGTGATGGAATATTACCAAGCCTCAAGTATTTGCAGAGTCTAGTTAATCTGTGCTCAGCACTGGATTATGCAAATAAGCTGAATCACATCCCATAATAGTAGTGACAAGAAATAACATCTCCCAGTTTTCTGCTTCTGATGAATTTCTCATTTCCAAATCACTTAGATCTACACAGCTTCTCTTCTGTCCAGTCTGACTTGCATCTAAGCATTATAGTGACAAGTGACGAGTTCATCGAAGCTCTTGGCGTCACCTCCTCATGTCTGAGAAGACCTATTCCTGCCCTAAGAAAGGAGCCTCACTGGAGATAAGCCAGGGAGTAATGCTTTGAAGTGATGGAATGACTTCATTTCTTTAAGTAGCTTTTTCAAATTTAAACTGTTTGTTAACCCGAAAGATCTTCAGTGTTCTTTTTCTTCTGGCAATCTTAAAATTTTAGCAAATTTAGCAAATTAGAAAGTGCTCATGAAACTTTATGGGTCGGTGTTTTTTTTTTTCCCCTGCTTCTAATAGAAGAAAAAGTAGGCCCAAATCTCCATCATATCATATTAGGCCCTTATTTCCTTAATAAGACTCCTATAGCACAAGAATTAAAATCAAGAATTAATAAGTGGGATGGATTCAAACTAAAAAGTTTCTTCTCAGCCAAAGAAACAATCAATGAATAGAGAGGTGAATAGAGAGCCTATAGCTTGGGAACAAATTTTCACCACTTGCACATCAGATAGAGCACTAATCTCCAGAGTATATAAAGAACTCAAAAAGCTAAACACCAATAATAATAATAATTAATAATAACCCAATCAATAAATGGGCCAAGGAACTGAACAGACACTTCTCAGAAGGTGATATACAATCAAACAACAAATATATGAAAAAATATTCAATATCTCTACCAATTAGAGAAATGCAAAAAAACTACTCTAAGACTTTATCTCAGTCCAGTCAGAATGGCAGCTATTAAGAATACAAACAACAATAAGTGTTGACGAGGATGTGGGGAGAAAGACACACTCATACATTGCTGGTGGGACTACAAAATGGTGCAGCCAATATGGAAAGCAGTTGGAGATTCCTTAGAAAACTAGGAATGGAACTACCATTTGACCCAGCTATCCCACTCTTAAAACAGCATTTTAAGTCCTTTGGGTATGGACCAAGGGACACAGGGACACAGCCACATCAATGTTTATTGCAGCTCAATTCACAATAGCTAAACTGTGGAACCAACCTAGATGCCCTTGAGTAGATGCATGGATAAAGAAACTGGTATATATACACAATGGAATATTACTCAGAAGATTTTTTAATATTTCAAGTGAGGAAAAGGCTTACAGAAAAGTAAAAAAAAAAAAAGAAAAGAAAAGAAAAATAGAAACACTATGAAGAAGAAAAATAGAAACGATACCAAAAATTTTAAGTTAGAAAAACCACCATTTGGCACCATTTAGCAAAACCACAGTAATAATCATTTCAGGTGAAATGACAAAAATCAGTGGATCCAAAAGATGAGAAATAGGGTATTTTACATAATCTCAAAGTATCTTCCTATAGAACATTTACTAATTAATAAGGGGAAAGGGTAACTTTACAATGGAGAATTCTGTTAGACAGCACCTTGAGCAAATGATCAAAGTTACCTTCACAATGGGCTGGGGATGTGGCTCAAGCGGTAGCGCGCTCGCCTGGCATGCGTGCGGCCCGGGGTTCGATCCTCAGCACCACATACAAACAAAGACGTTGTGTCTGCCGAGAACTAAAAAAAATAAATAAATATTGAAATTCTCTTTAAAAAAAAAAAAGTTACCTTCACAAGAACAAAAGGACATCATGTGTCTCCTGATATGAAAAAAGACACAGCATCCCTTCCATGGCACTGTGGTCAAAATGCAACTTGTATTTATGAAAAGAATTGGAGAAATCTTAAATGCACTTAAGGAAAAGGAGTTAATCTGAAAAGACTATGTCCTATATGATTCCAATTTAGACATTCTCCAAAAGGCAAAGACTACAAAGGTGTAAAAGATCAGTGTTTGTTGGGCATCAGTATGGAGGAAGGATGAACAGGTGAAGCATAAAGAATTTTTAGGGCAGTGAAACTTTTTGGGGGGAGGAGTACTGGGGATTGAACTCAGGGGCCCTCAACCACTGGGTCACAACCCCAGCCCTTTTTTGTATTTTATTTAGAGACAGGGTCTCACTGAGTTGCTTATTACCTCACCATTGCTGAGGCTGGCTTTGAACTCAAAATCCTCCTGCCTCAGCCTCCTGAGCCACTGGGATTACAGATGTGCACCACTGTGCCCGGCAGGGCAGTGAAACTTTTGTGTTAATATAATGGTAGATACTTGTTAGTATAAATTTGTCCAAACCAACAGAATATACAACACCAAGAATGAAATTTAATGTGATCTATGAACTTTGGGTGATAATGAGGTGTCGATATAGGTGTACCATTCTAAAAACTGGACCACTCTGGTGGGGGATATTGGTAGTAGGGAGGCTACCTATGGGTTGGGGCAGAAGGTACAAGGGAACTCTCTTGTGCTTCATGCTCAATTTTGCTGTGAAGCTAAAGTGACTTTAAAAGATAAAGTCTTTTCAAAAAGATTAATAAGAGAACATACAACTGTATTCATTGTTAAGGTAATATAAATTAAAACAATGCAATACCACGTGTCACATAATAAAGCAGACAGTAATTAAAATTTTTAATGAAATCCAACCTTGGCAAAAATATTGAAAACTAACTCTGGCATACATGGAGTGTAAATCCATACAACCTATTGTCAACACAACAGAAGACCTGTAAAATGTAAATGTGCAAACTGTACATTTAGAAATAGCATCTGTACTTGCATAAGCAAAAAGCATATGTGTGCAAAGATATTATTTACTGAAGCGGTCTTTAAAGCAAAACACAGGAAAACTAAGGTAAGGGATCCAAGCTCACTTACCTGAGACAAAAAATTGGGGCAAATATACCAGGCTAGAACCAATCCCTCCAGCAAAGGATCTTACTGAAAATTCGGCTTTTGGGTGGTAAAAAATTACTTCCAACCACATTAATATTAGTATAAATATCACCACTTCCAGATTTAATTGCATTCACCCCATAGCAAAGATAATCAGCTAATCAAATTGAACCTTAAACATATGTGTAATAATAAATATACCAATAAAATACAAATGGTTTTTATTGGATTGTGCCATAGATTGAATTATAACCATCTTCAAATTCGTATGTTAAGCCCTAACCCTCACCTCCCTACTGGAGATAGGGTCTTTAAGGAAGTGATTAAGGTTAAATGAGGTTGTAAGAATATAGCCCTGAACTACCAGACATGATGGTGCACATCTGTAATCCCAGCTGAGGCAGGAGGATCTTGAGTTCTAAGCCAGCCTCAGCAACTTAGTGAGGCCCTAAGCAACTCATCAAAACCCTCCTCTAAATAAAATATTAAAAAGGGCTGAGGATGTGGCTCAGTGGTTAAGCGCCCCTGGAATCAACTGGTACCAGGAATTGGATTTTCCTATCTGATATAATATAATATATTATAGAGCTGGTGGAAGAGTGGAAGAGCTGCCAAAGCTTTCTCCATGTGAGGACACAGCAAGGTGGCAGCTGTGGACAGCCAGACAGGGAGGCTTCCCAGACACTGAATGCTGACACCCTGATGTTGGACTTCTGGGGCTCCAGAACTATGAGAAAAACTTGTGTTGTTTAGCTACCCAATCTACGTTATTTTCTCATTGCAGCTTGATCAGACTCATGTAGACAGACTGCTTCTCAGTCCCTGGAGGGATAAAGTTTTTCATCATGGAAGAGATAACGCAGTTCATTTGGACCTGAGGTTAAAGCATTCAGCAAAACACTCTCAAGAAAATTAAAACACATTGGAAATTCCGAAAACGAAAAAAAAAAAAAAGGTTTGCTCATTAATCCATAGTCAATAAGGACAGCCACAGGGGAACCGCACACATTGCACAAATCACCAGTGGTTATATAAATGGGCCGAAGACCCTGAAGAATACAAGAAATATGAGGCCCCTTTACAATTCAACCAACACACTTGATTGGAGGCCAGGGGAACAGTGACATCAGACTGTGTGCTCAGCCCATCATTACATTTGTCCTCTGAATTCCTTAATTTGGTGATGTGATCTTCCACCATCTCCTCTCACCATCCATTCCTGCATAAGATCACAGACAACATGTGGCTGCCTCGCCCATCCTCTTTGTACAAACCTGGAAATAAAAATTTAAAAGAAGGGGATCTTCGTTCACTTCCTTTCTCCTTCCAATAAATACTATATCCTGTGAGTTCTGCTTCCTTAATATATCCACAGTCCAGCTGTGTATACCTCTACCTAGGCTACTCTTTCATGTAGTGCTTAACCACTGAGCCACATCCACAGCCCATTTTATTTATTTTATTTTATTTTTTATTTTGACAGGGGCTTGCTAAGTTTCTGAAGCTGGCTTTGATCTTGTGATCTTCTTGCCTCAGCCTCCTGAGCCACTGGGATTATAAGCATGCACCACTCTGCCCAACTATACAATTTTTTTAAAGATGTCACCACTGTATTTGAAAACCTCTAATGACTGGGCCTTGGTTCAGACCATTCGCTTCCAAAGCTCTTTATGATTAGATGTTCTCTTCCTTTAGTTTCTTTGCACTCCCTACTCTCATGGTATGCTACAGCTAGCTAGCTCTTCTCTAACACGCACCTTTAAGGTGCCTCCCTCTCTGCTCTGGCCCACCTTTTAGACTTGATCCTACTATTATGGTGTGAGTTTTCTTCCAGAAATTTCCTCACATCCATACATGGGTTGAGCCTGGACTCTTCTGTGAACATTCTGGTCACCGATGATGTCATGGTTGTAAGCACCTATCCTGCTTTATTGAAAATGATTCTCTATTCTGTGACCTTCCCATCCTCTATCCCCAGTAATGACTTCACATTTATCCTTGAAGACAAAGACCATGCTGGCCTTGATCATCACTGTTGTCCTTTAGCATAGCAAAATTTCAGGCACTTGGTTTAGCATTCAACAAACATTGTCTAAAGGAATGTTCTATCACTGAGCAACCAAAGTAAAAGGGATATTTTGAAACGTGTGTGTGTGTGTGTGTGTGTTTACCTATCCCAGGAAGATACCAAATGTGATGTGAAATTTGATGGCATAAACACAGGGATTTTAAATATTCTGTCCCACTGTAGAATTCCAGCAGGTACAGGTGAGGGCCTTTCACCTGGGTGCAGACAGGAGTTATGGATTAGGAGAGAGGCAATAAATTCGGAGAGGGATGCCCAGGTAGAATGGCTAGAAAATCACCACGCACAAAAGATCAAGAAACTGTGGTGAAAAGATATGTGAACTGTAGATTTTAAAATGCCAAGACAGTGCTAAATTGGAGGGGTGGAGGGAACATGAGGCAGGGCATTTCTTCATTGGTGTAGAAAAGCCAGCAGAAGTTTGGTGTTAAGCCACAGGCAGGAGTCTCAAGGAAAAGGGTTGGTACACAAGATGGAGGGGGAAATGGTTTAGAAATGTCAGTAGGGATCCAAGCGAATAGCCAGAAGGTTTTAATACTGCATAGCACGTCTGCTGTGATCCCTGCCTTCCTCTGCCTACTATCAGAGCTAGCTATTGTCGGACTCTTATCTCTGTACTTCAGTTTTGCCAAGAGTATCAGAATGGCATCTTACTCATTTATGTCTCCTGAAGCATCTTTTTAAACATATTTTTTTTAGTTGTAGGTGGACACAATACCTTTAATTGATTAATTAATTAATTAATTAATTTTTATGTGTTGCTGAGGCTCAAACCCAGTGCCTCACACATGCTAGGTGAGCACTCTATCACTGAACCACAACTCCAGAAGCATCTTTTTAAGACTTGGTCCAGGGCTAGCATGAGTGAGGCACTGGGTTCGATCCTCAGCACCACCTATAAATAAATAAAATAAAGGTCCATTGACAACTAAAAAAATATTTTTAAACAGACCTGGTCCATAAGTATGCATTATGTTATTCATTTATTCCCAAACTTTTCCATAAGGACTGGGGTTTACTTATAAAATATTTACTATATAATTTATAAATCAGGACCAGGAAAAAAGTAAATTACAGTGGAAAGCCAGTTGGGGGAATTAAGAAAGTAAACATGCAGACAGATTTTCTACAAGTGGTTTTTGAATTGGATTGTGACCCATCCCTTCCTATCCCCTCACACAGAGACACACTTGGGAAAGCATTCAGATTCCAATTGCAATCAAAATGATTCTTGTCCTTCTCAATTTAATTTAGTATATTATCTTCCCTAAGTTCTCTAATATGCAGATCCTAATTTCAAAATTCTTTGGCAAAACAAACAGAGTATTCTGTATCATAGGTAAAGCACAGCTACTACCATGAAGAAGTCTTTTAATCAATTTCAAAGAATTGTTTGTATCACTCCATTTCAGGGAATCTGCCTTTGTGTCCTTGTTTATAAAAACCTCTGGCTCACTTCTCTGTTTTCAATTAACCTGAGACAGAAACAGTCTCTATTTGGCACAAATGGAACAAAACCAAAAATACACCTACATGAAATAATTTTCTTATAAAGATGAAAGCACAGGATATAAGAAACCCAAGAAATAGGCATAATAGTAAAATGAGTAAAGAATGTGTCTTCTGGGGCTGGGGATGTGGCTCAAGTGCCTGGCATGCCTGCGGCCCAGGTTGGATCCTCAGCACCACATACAAACAAAGATGTTGTGTCTGCTGAAAACTAAAAAATAAATATTGAAATTCTCTCTCTCTCTCTCTTAAAAAAAAAAAAAGCCTAAGTCTTGAGACTTAAAAAAAAAAAAGAATGTGTCTTCTGATGGGAAATCCTGAAGCTAATAAAGAAAAGGTTAATTACAATAAAATCATCCCTGTAATGAATTTGTCTAACTTGATTGCTTTAGTCTTGGTATAAATTCTTTTCTATTATCCTAAAGCGAATTCCATTTTTTCCAGCAACCATTACCAAGGGTTGTTCTGTCCTGCTTCATTTGTATTTTTCTGTAAATGCACTTATTTCACTAACAGACAAGTTAAAAATATGATGTTTATTCATTTATTTTTTCTGCCTTATATTTAAAATGTGAATACCTTTAACTATCAAATAAAGACAGTTCACATAATTTTGTATGTATGTAGTAAATGCTCTGATAATTACAAGAAACAAAATAAGGCACAGGGATTCTAGCTCAGTGGTACATTACTTGCCTAGCAGTGCAAGGCCCTGGGTTTGATCTCCAGCACTGGGGCGGGGCGGGGCGGGGCGGGGAGGGGGGGGGAAAGACAAAGGAAAACCAAATATGAAACGAGAGACTTTAGCTTATTGCCAACAGAAAATAGTACATATCATAAATAACATTTTAGAGGTAAACTCTAAAGAGAACAATTCCAAAGCCATGTTTTGAAGGCACCACTGCACCCATAATTTTTCTGGTTAAATGTTCCAGGACTAGATAAAGTGGAGGGTAAATGAAAGTAAGCTCCCAAGTTCAAGGCCACCGCTTACCAGTATGGAGCATTTAGACCCTTGAACAGTGGCTAGTGCAAATTAAGACATGCTATTTCCTCAAATACTGACCAGATTGAAGACAATATAGGGAAAAATCCATTTCAATATCCTATTTTTAACTTGATTGCATATGGAAATATGTCTTTTATATATTGGATTAAGCAGAATATGTTCAAATTAATGTCACCTTTTTCTTTTTACCTTTTAATGTAGGTACTAGGAAAATTTTAATTACATATGTGGTTTACATAACATCACTATTCTACACTGATGCCACAATTTTTTTGGACTCAGGCCTTGGCTTTAGGACTTGATTCCTACGCTGGATCTTAGAAAATGATACCCCAAAATATGCCGCTTTGAACTTCAAACTGTGCACCTGGGGAGCAGCAAGTGTAGAGAAGGGCTTCTCAGTGAAGATCCATTATTTACGCAAAGAGTAAAGACCAGATCCACCACAAAGGATCAGGGTACTCCCTCTCCTGCGAAACGCATAGGAATGCGCATGCCTTTCCTTCTGATAATTTATCTTCTGCCCGTTTATTTATCAGACTCAAATGCTCCAAAGGGGAAAGAGAAAGTTCGTTTCCCTTTGCACCTATAGATGAGGATCATAGGATGTGTTGTCCATACCTCAAGGTTGTAACGACAGTCTTTAAAAATAAGGTATGATCGCTTCCTTCGCCCATAGTTTACAGCTCGTTCTGGATGTATCGATTTCACACGGTACAACTGAGTCGGTGAAAGAGTCTTTTCAATCCTTACGCGTGTCCAGCCCCTCTTCTACGTCCCAACAGGTGTTGGGGACCGAGTGGCCACTCAACCCGGATTCCGCAGAGGAACAGGAAGCACGGCCGAAGCTGAGGTGGCGGCTGCAGGGGGTGGCTGTCACCCTGGGTCTCAGGCTCCCGAGCCTGGAGCGCTCGGAACTGGCATGAGGCAGGGCGGCTGCACCCTGCTCCCCGCCCACCTCCGCTGGTGACTTGGCTTCACTGGACCGCAGTCTCCCCGCGCGTTGGAGCTCGCCGGCTCCGCCCACGGCTACCATGGCAACCGGCGCAGCACCTGCGGGTGGGATGGGTTACTCAACCCTCCGCTTCCAAGTGCACTGCAGTCACCTTCCCCGGGGTCCTGCCTCCATCCCTTCAGTTAAGTCGGGGTTTTTGCGTCTGGGTTGAGACAACCCCGTCTCCAGACTACTGAAACGGCGGTGGCGCCCTTCCTGGAGGGCGACGATGGTCCTTATTCGCCGGCCTTCCTCCAAACCCGGATGACCGACCAATGCAATAGGCCGGCTGCACCTCCCAAGTCACTCCATGAGATAGGAAGAGCAGGGGCCCTGCACCCACGTGTCTCACCTTCGGCGGTTTGCTGCAGGCTCCTGGCCTCGGACCTAAGGGGAAAGCGAACCGGGCAGCCCCGGGATTAGCTCTTTTCTTTTCTTTTTTCATTGAGTTGGATGGACTGAAGCAGGCTGCGCAAGAAGGCTTCGTTCCCTGTAACATTTGATCCCCTAAACTGCAGCTACGTATTCAGGAGATTCCCTTGTTCCACCCCCGGAATTTGCCAAGATTTAAAAGTGGGGCTGAGGAGAGGTAGTTAAAGGCAATAAGTGGGGCGTGGGGTGGGAGGTCCAGGGACCTAGAGATCTTCAAAGTCTAGTCAGCCCTGCCACGTCGCTTCTGACTCCTGGTGACCGCCACACTTCTTGTGTCATTTTGCTGGTCGTTATTGGTTGCTCTTTCCAGATGATGTTCATGTAACTACAGAGGGACTCCAGAGTTCTTGGAGAAAAGAAGCAGTGCAGCAGCATGGGTCAAAGCCTGGGCTCCGCAGTGGGCAGTGACAGGGCAGGGTACTTAGATATGCCCCCTACAGCAGGGAGTTGACACACACACACACACACACACACACACACACACTGCTTTGGCGCCCTTCCTGGGCATAGTACTCAGTAATTGAAAGCTAATAAAAATAACACAGTGTTGGAAAAATATTATTATTTATTGAATCAGAAAAGAGAAAGGACAGAGAAAATAAGTCAATTATGAGCTACCAGGAAAGCCAAAATTGATGCAAACGTAGATGTAAGACAATATGAGTAATGACTAGGGGCTTCCTATTAGTTGAGGAAATGGGAATTATACTGGAATGATTTTAGGTGCATAATATTTGGAATTACACTAGTTGCATTTTATGAAATTAAGTAGAAAAGTTCAAGTAGTTAAGTAGTTCATGTCTATGTGACCCTCTTGTATGGGAACTTTTCTTAGTATTAACTGCTTTATAGTAGCACACATTAGTTATAAAGTCGCTATACTTAGTGTCTTGTTCAATGAAATAAACACACCCATCAGGGATCATTTCAACCACTTGGTACAGTAAATCTTAGAAATTACCAAAAGGATTTTCATCTTATTCCTTTCCTGGTATCTTTTCTTATGCTGTTACCTTTCATCTTCTTCTATGGTAGCCATTTGCATATTTTTAGCTGAAATGGCATGTTATTAATCTTTGCTGCACTTGGAAACACATAACATAGAAGGTTCTCAAGTATTTCTTTGAGTACTTTCTATATTATATGTTAAAAAATTATTTAAATATTTATACAAAAAAATCATTGGGCTGAGGATGTAGCATTGTAGCATGTGTGTAGGAGACCTGAGTTTCATCCCCAGCATAGCAAAAAAAAAAAAAAAAGTAAAAATAAGAATAAATTTTAAAATAAAAATTATTACACCTTAATATGTATTTTTAGAATGTGCTCTACCAGGGATGCTCTACCACTGAGCTATATCCTCAGCCCTTTTTACTTTATTATGAGACAAGTTCTCACTATAAAGGTGTCCAGGCTGGTCTTGAACTTAAGATCTTCCTGCCTCTGTCTCCTCAGTAGCTGGGATTACAGGTGTGTACCACAGTGCCTGGCTAAGAATGTACTTTTAAAAATGTAAATTTTCCACTGAATGTTTTCTGCTTCTTTAGATTACTGAACATATAATTTTAAAAAAAATACATTGTTTTAAGATATAAATAACTTTAAGAGCAGTTTTTCTTATTATCTATTACTCTTTAAAAAGTATATGAAGTCATCGTTAGACTTTGGTTTGTAACTAAAATTATCTGGTGTAAATAGCAGCTAAAATCATGCAGTTATGTCAAAGTTTTTAGTGATACTTTTAAAAGCTTTTATAGATATTGTCAGCTTAGAAATGTCATCTCCTGGAAACTATAATAAGAAAATCTCATTCATTATGAAACATACAATTTTTTTTGTGGTTTTGTATGTTCAAACCAAGCTAAAAATAGTCCACAACCATTAACTGAATTGCCTGTAGTAAAGCAACAATCATGCCACATCACATGACCCCTAAACCAGTAGAAAGGGTATTCCTGGTCCACTGAGAAGATAATAAAAAAGACATAAATGATTCTGTGAATTCTTTTTTTTTTTTTTTTTTTTTGTATCAGAGGTTGAACTAAGGGGCACTCAACCACTGAGCCACATCCCCAGCCCTATTTTATATTTTATTTAGAGACAGGGTTTCACTGACTTGCTTAGTGACTTGGTTATTCCTGAGACTGACTTTGAACTCATGATCCTCCTGCCTCAGCCTCCTGAGCCGCTGGGATTATAGGCATTAATTCTGTGAATTCTTTATGCATCCAAACTTACAGAAACTTCTCAGCAGTTGTGAATCTGTCAACACACCCACAGATAATTAGAATCCTAAAGCAATTCAAAGGTTAACTTATACTTATGGATTAAAGGATTTTCACCTCTTCCCAGCCTGGAATATGAAAGCATGTGAAATAAAAACTTTCTATCATGCATGGCACTGTTCATTTTTATATTTTCTGGAAAATGATAATGTTGTTCTTAACAAGAAATCATAATTTCTCACTAATTTTCTATTCAAATTACCAGAAATATTGGCATTATGGAATAATGCCATCTAAAACTTATCTATTTATCCCTAAACAACAAACTTATAAATACATGAACATTTTACTTTTATGACATGTACAGAATATTTACAAATCAGTCCTTAGCCAAGAACCTAGAATTTTTCTTTTTAGATTCCTAAGAATACAGCTTCCTAATTAATACAAAAAAAGTGGTAAGTTTATACTGACCAAAATTGATCAATTTCTCGATGGCTTTTAAAAATCTTATCCAAGAATAATGTTTCTTTTAACTGCTCATTTCTCTTTGTTTTGGTCTCTATCATTGCATACTAGTTTCCCCACCTCCATTTTCTGTTATTCACAGATTTCTGCTTAAAGGCTAAAATAGGGCACAGAAAAAATATAGCAAAAGTTCTGGGCTTATAGGTGATACTTTTTTATTCTGGAGACCCCAATAATTATTTTTTTAAAAGACCACTAATTTCCAGCACTCAATGTACACGTGAGATGGCCAGTTTTCTGTCATGATGGCTGGAAGAGGACTTGATATTTCAAATTTAATATAATGTTCTTTCATTTAATTCCTCTGTAGTACAAACAGCATCCTCATCTTAAGCCTGCTTGATGTCTTCTCACCCGAAGATTCTTTTTACTCCAAAAATAAACAACTAGTCATGCTCCCGTGCACAAAGGGTCTGATGGAATCTCAGTGTTTAATTTCTTTTTAAACTAACTTTGGGTGGGCTGCTGTGCTCATGCCTGTAATTCCAGCAACTCGGGAGACTGAGGCAGGGGGATTACAAGTTTGAGGCCACCCTAACAATTTAGTGAGGTCCTACGCAAGTTAGCAAGACCCTGTCTCAAAATGAAAAATAGAAAGGGGCTGGGGCTGGGGCTCAGTGTCGAGCGCTCGCCTGGCATGTGTGAGGCACTGGGTTCTATCTTCAGCACCACATAAGAATAAAACAAAGGTATTGTGTCCACCTATAACTAAAAAAAAAAAAAAAAATACGTATTTTAAAAAAATAAAAAGGGCTGGGGCTAAGTAGTAAAGTTCCCCTGGGTTCAGTCCCCAGTACCAAAATAAATAAACTAATAACTAACTTAAAAGAATCCCTGTTTTTAACCTTGTGTTTATCCCATTCTCAAAGGTCCTGATACTGTGAAATCCTAAAACTCTTGGAAGGTCCATTTTGACCTCTGCTGGCTTAGAATTCAGCTTTCCTGTGTATGTTCATTCAGCAAATTCTCATCTATTGCCTTTTCAGGTCCCCACATTTCAATATTGTCTTTTTTCCTGTGATCTTTGCCCTTGTCCCTTGAGGCCTTTTTAAAAAAAATAATCCACTTACTGTAATTAAAGTTTTCAGGAGGCATAGAGGTAAATGGATGTATTTAATTCTCCCTCCTGTTTCCAGAAATTAGGGTAAAATGTTCTCATTCATGTATAAATTTGAAGAGTCTAGCTGGACACACTCAGAGGCTGAGGCGGCAGATTGCTTGAGTAAAGGAGTGTCAGCCCAGCTTAGGGAACATAATGAGATCCCCATCTCCAAAAAATTATTAAATTAATTTAAAAATAAAGTCTTGAGAAGGGGCTGGGGGCATCTTCTGTAACAAAGTAGTGGTTAGCATTCATGTGGCCTTGGGTTGCATTTTATCCTTAGCACCTCCGCCCCAAAAAATGTCTAAAGAGAATGAAACTTTTTATAATTCTCAATAATACAAGAATCTTCAATTGCTTTAACCCCTATCATATCCCTCTCCTAAATTATATGGCAGTCCAATGTTTGTGTCCTCTCCACTTTATATTCATTGTCATTTTAATGTCAGTGTCAATTACATTTGTCTACATTTCTTTGCCATTTCTCTGGGCATCTCAAATAACTTTTGGCATTATTTTCCTTTTTAAAATTTGTCCTTTATAAATCATTTACTGAGGATCTCTCTAAGGTAAATTTTGTTTCTTTTTGTCTAAAATTGTCTATCTGTACAGTCCTTTAATTCTGGAAGAATCTCAATATTCAAATTCTTAATGTTGTTTTTCCCAAATTCTATTATCATTCTCTGGGATGCCAGTTAGATATATGTAGCACCTTCTAGTTCAGTTCTTCATATCTTACTCTCATGTTTTCCATGTATCTAATATCCTGGGTTGAATTCTGGGTGATTATTTTCAATT